CTGGTTTGTCACTTTCACTGAAGTTTATTGCCTGGATGGTGGTGATGGAGAACACGACTGAACCACTATATGCCTTTTTTACAAAGAAGAAATCTACAAGAGGAACACATTTCTAGACTAAAAAACGACAAAGTAGCCTGAGTTAGTACTGAATAATGTTTTTGAAATAACAGGGTCTGAATTCAGATTAGAGTGCATACTGCTAAAGAAGTGTTACTAGCTGCAACGTCTGAGCACAAACCCAAATAATATGCATTCTGTTTGTTTTTGTTTATATAGTGGTTCAGTCGTGTTCTCCATCACGCCATCTACGCAACAAACTTCTGTGAAAGTGACAAACCAGAAGAAACCATAAAATGTTATAACGAGATGGTTATCTTGATAGAACAAGATAGTTTTCTCGTTTTTACAAGATAGTTTTCTTGTTTTTACAAGGTAGTTTTCTCATTGTAACGAGATATTTTTGTCATTATAACGACATTTTCTCGTTTTTACAATAAAGTTTTTTTTCGTTATAACGAGATCCAGTTTAAAAATAATTTCATGTCATGTGACAGCTCTACGTTTCCGTAGAAAGGAGTTTTAAAGAGTCAGATATAAAAAATGGACTGCTGTTTTCTATTTCATCACTTTAAATGTGATGACCTTGTGTTGTCGGACCCTGGACTGTTGGTTTCCTTTGAAGGGAGGGTGGGATTAGATCAGCTTTTAAAGAACACAACTCTATCAATTCAATCACCAGACTGATTGTCTCGACTTATGACTGTGTGTCAACCTTCAAGCATGAACACAGCTAGGATTATCCAATACTTTATATTTCTATATTAATCATCTACTTATTAGAGTTAATATTTCCATATGTGTCCAAAGTTGTAAGGCAACCCCTCACAGAGCTGCAGACACCATCTTCAAACTTGTTTAGTAGAGTTTTTTATGATTTTTTCAACTGAAGAGTTTGTGACCAGAAACTAACTTGTGATGGAACAATGAGTAAACTCAACATGAAAACCAAACAAAAAGAAAACAAACAATAAAAAAGAAAAGAATCTGAACTCAAGACTTCCTTATGTCCAGCTTGTAATCGAGGTACAGTAGCCTGGGAGCACAAGTTGCATAAATGACACAGGTTTGTCCATGAGTCTGCCCAGCAAAGTGAGACTGATTCAGGAGTCTGCTACAATAATCTTAAACTTTCAGAGTCACAACGCTTGATGCAGAGATGGTTAACATGATGAAGGACCTGCTCCATGCAAAGAGCAACAGATCAGAKTCATGTGTGGAAGACTTGAATGAATATCGTTACGACCAAAGGAGYGTCAGTCTGTTCAACAGGAGCCTTAGAGTGTTTACAAGGAATCCCAGAGCCCTTTGGTTGGAAATGATGGCTACTTTAGTTTGTAGATGTGACATCTTGGCTTATGAGACAAGGACMACTGAAGCCATCTGTGACACTGCTGTTCACTCTGTTCACTCAGAGATAAAGGTCTCCAGCTTCTGCCGCAACTTTGGACTCAGCTAAAGGGAGAYGGAGGCCTTCCTGCAGAGATGCTTCACACAAGTGGAAAGAAGCTTGGAGTTGCCCAGTCCCAACTGTAAAAACCCAGAGTCCCCTCGTAGTTTGTGAAAATCCTTTGACTGTCCTGGTCCTCCCTGCGTTCCTGTTTGTGTTTTTAACTAACCTCTCAGCTGACTGATACTACTGGAAGCATAAACCTGATTACTTAAGTTATCTTGGGATCTCATTTAGTAGATAAATGATCCGAACAAATAAAAATGATCTCCAACCTTTGCTGATTGTATTCATGTGCTCAATTTACTGCATCTGTTTGCCACTAAGTCACAGCACAAGCTTTCTTAATACACTTTAAATTTAAAGTTAAATACCACATAGTGATTCTCTTAATGTTATAAAGTATTTTAGCCTCTTAGAAGTGGAGTTCTATGAAAAAGTTATGAACTGGTGCCATCTTGCCTGTTGTAGATAACTCTATAAGCTCAAACAAATGATTTTGACAGGACTGATGTCATCTGAAGCAGCTCAAGTGCAGTAGATGTTTTTATTTAAGCCTTTATGTAGCTGTCAATTTCACATTACAAATGTAAAAAACACTTATTCCAGGAGGAAGTGACGCAAACTGCACAAGAAGTGCCACAGCTAACTAGAGCTGTTTTAAGACATCACCAGTCCACTTTAGTCTTGGATTCAGACAGTGCTGTCACAATTAAACTCTGATTTACCGAACTGACATGGTTCAAAGAGCCATCTAAAACAGGTAAGAAATTCAAGGTAGTAACTCACTTGGTGTAAACTGCTGTTGGTGAACATTTGTGAGGGAGTCTCCAGAATGTCTCAAAGCATTTGCGGTGGATCTCGTTAGACGCTCAAAGTTTTCTCGCTTGAATTTTGAACATGTTCAAAAACTGTGCGCAAAACAATTGAGTCTCAAAGCTCTCAAAAGAGCCAGAGGTATATTTCGACACCTGTTCTGGAGCTCTCCTCTAATGTAAAAACCGTTGATGATACAAGATAATAATTTTTTTTAAAACTGGACCTTGGCTGTGTCCAAATTCAGGACCTGCATCCACCGATGGCTGAATCTGTCAGCCGCTTCCGTCACAGCGATGGTGTTAGCTGCTGTTGTTGGTACCCCTTTGTTAGTGACTGAAAAGCCCACATTGGTCAATGAAATAATTTGAAACTGACCAAAGTAATAATGAATAAAAATAAATTACTAACATTTAACCAGTGAAAATCACACATTGCTTTTGAATTGTGGTTCAACAGAATTATGTTTTAAAAACAAACTATTGAAAAAGGCCTGGACAAAAACAATGTTACCTCTAGAAAAGCTTGAACATAATTTGACCACAGGAACACGCTAAACTCTAGGTGTGTACCAACAATTCTGTCCATGTGTGTATCAATGATCTGATATTTGTATTTTTATTTATTTTTTTTGTAATTTCTGAGAATTGGTCTCCAAAAGTCATCCAGCTGATGAGATACTACCTTAAAGGGATCCATGATTAGTTGTAACATTAGACTTTATTTGATAAACATATATTTTAACTGTAAAATAAAGACTGTAAAAATACTGTAGGATGTTTAGTTTTTATAATTTTTAAACTAAAAGTTTAAAAATATATTACAGGGATGGGGCCGTTTTATTTACACACAAAGCATTCTGGGTAAATGATGACGTGGATAGGTCCTCGGTGCGAGGCTGCTAGCGAGCTATATCCACCCTGAAGGTGAATCTTGGACAAGATCTGATGATCGACTCTTTTAAATGAAACCAGAGAGCGTTGACAGAGAGGAGAAGGTAGAAATGACTCAGCCTGTAACTGAAAATATGGATGGAGGACAACAGAGCTCCTTCATGGAAGAAGAACCTCAGCTTAGCCTGTTAGCTTTAGCTTTAGCCCCGATGCTATCACCATATATATGTATTAGCTCAGTGCTACACATTCTCCTCCCATCACTGAGGTCCTCCATCCACATGACAGAGAGGGGAACACAAAAATGACTCAGTCTGCAACTGAAAATATGGATGGAGGACCTCAGTTTAGCTTGTTTGTCACGCTAGCACCGAGCTAATACAAGGCAATATAGCGTCGGTGCTAGCGTGAAGGCTAAATAGCTTGACACACGGGAGGCGATGTCGCTCGCTCTCCATTCATTTCCTATGGAACTTGTGCGTTGAGGCGACAATCGCTCATCCTCCTCCAACCAAGTGACAGGCGAAAATCGTGCATGTGAAATTTCGCGCTCGTGCACATAGACGTGCACACGCGAGCTTGCGATGCGACATATGAAAGTTGAAAACTGTTCAACTTTTGTCGCTGTCGCTTAGCGTACAACCAATCAGCGAGGGTTTCATTGATTGACTGACCAATGAGCGGAGAGTATGCTACACACTACAGTTAGCTAACACTTTAGCTCTGTCAAACTTTCCAGTTTTATATGACCCTTCACCAAGTGATTACTAACAGCTTTATGGGAATTTGTTGGTACCAGGGTGAAGTTATCTGGTAAGTTTTACCTCATAAATTCGTGGTGTATGTTAGTTTTTCAATATCATTAGCATCACAAGATTTGTTTAGTTTACACGTCTGTAATGCACACAGCCCCTTTTTTTGCGAACCACTAATAACCTTTACAAGAGGCAGTAGAAGAACCAATCAAATTCCGTGAAGACAAGCGAACCGAGAGGGTGATTCACAACGCTGCAATCGCTATCGCATCCCGTGTGTCAGGTTTCACCCTGGTTGCGATGATGGCCGTTAAACGCTGTCATTTGTCGCTCCCCGTGTGTCGAGCCCTTAACAGGCTAAGCTGAGGTTCTTCTTCCATGAAGCAGCTCTGTTGTCCTCCATCTATATGTTCAGTTACAGGTTGAGTCATTTCTACCTTCTCCTCTCTGGTTTCATTTAAAAGAGTCGATCATCAGATATTGTCCAAGATTAACCTTCAGGGTGGATATAGCTCGCTCACCCCGATGACCTATCCACGTCATCATTTACCCAGAATACTTTGCATGTAAATAAAATGGCTCCGCCCATGTTAAAATATATTTTTAAAAATTATTAAAACTAAACAGCCTACAGTATTTTTACAGTCTTTATTTTACAGTTAAAATAAATGTTTATCAAGTAAAGTCTAATGTTACAACTAATCGTGGATCCCTTTAACTGTTCAGGTATTTTTTATAAGAACCCCACTTTAAAATATTCTGAATATGCCTTTAATGACTTTAAGTGCAGTATTCTTCAGTATTCTTCTGAATTAAGTGTTTTTCTCTTAAGTTTAAAACTAATTTGTAAAACTTCACTGTTTTAAAAGCTAAGAAATGTTTTTTTTAAGTCTGTCCACTTTCAGCACAGTAAAAACAGCTTCTGTGTTTTCAGACATTCAAGTTAAAATTTGAGTCAGATATTTGTTTCTGTTAGACAGTGACACCTGATGCTCTGCAACAGATTCTTAATAAAAATATCATGTATTAATAATATTTCTGTATAGTTGCATTCGTTTCATTCTGGTTTTATATTATTACATTAGATTGTTTTATAGTTGGATCATTTATCATCTCATTACTTAAACTGTTTTGTGTATTAAAGATAAATTTTAACAGTGTGAGGCACTGACTTAATAATAATATTAATAATATTGATTATATTGAATTTGTAAAAGGCCAGTTATTTACTTTATGTTCAGAATTAAAGTATTTTGTTATCTTGGAAGCGTTATTATAAGAGCTCATTATTTGGGTGACTAAATATATGAGAATACAGTTTTTAAAAAGCCAGTCAAGTCTTCACGTTCAGCTCCTAATGAAGAATAATAAAATCACTGTTGCCCTGCAGTGACCTCCCTCATGTTGGGTGCAGTCAGAGGGATTCTCATTGCTCAGTCAGAACGAACACAGAGATCCACTCCACTTTGTCCAGAACACTTCACACGTCATCCCCATCCTTCCAGCTTCCCAGACCCAGAGATGTGGCTTGATTGGTCCGCATCACTCAAGGCCAAATGTGCTGGTTTCCTCCACAGCCACCAGCAGTTTCTCGTAGAGCGTGATGTAGGAAGGGTAAGGAGGCAGGTCGAGGCGGTTGAAACACGTGTGAGCCCTAACAGACAGAGAGGAAACAAAGAGTAAAGGTCTGTTTTTTTATTCCCAACACTTTCTATCATGAATGAAACACAAAGCAGCTGGGACGATGCTGAAAGGTCAGTTAAAGACTCTGAGAATAATACCAGTCACAATTAATCACAAAACTAGTCAAACCACAGCTCTGCTTGCTGCCCAACAAATGAATGTCCTACTCTAACGGTGCTATCTCACTGGACTGTGACTACTTGTCGAACACCATTCATGAGGGACCTCAAGAACACGTTGCAGTGCTAGAGCGGGTTTTAAATATCCTTGAATGTACAGAGGTGCGTAGTCCTGTTTCAGTTTCAAACAAGTTCAAAACTTTGGGAGACAAATTTTCAACCTGTCTCAAACACACCTGCATTGTTTTGCGAGGGTCTTGGACATGTCTGAAGAGTTCTAGAGCACAGGAGTTTGCTCTGACCATAGAGTTAAACAACTAACTTTAATAAACAGTAAAGCTTAATGTGTTGTAGTTTTATAAGAAATTTTAACTTGATGAACTTCACTGCTTTTCATGCATCATCTAGAAAAAAACATTAAATAAATTAAACATAAAAGCAACAGGAAACTGTACCGTCACATAGGTTGTGGTGAAATTTACATAAGCAGAGAGTTAAATGACAAAGTATCATTGTATGAAAAACAGCACTGTCTGCCCTCAATGAGCTGTTTCGACCTCATTACAAAAGATGCTGTCAGATGGACTAACTGACCTAAAAGTTTGTTTGTCAGGCGGCCACAGCGTGAGTGATTTACATTTACTGCCGAGAATAATAATCGTCACCCATAATATGGTAAGGACAAAAATGATGCAAACTTGCCCCATCCACTCCTCTTTAAAAACGTGTGCTTCAGTGCTGCCTCAGCTCGACACCAACAAGAGATGAATCTGCAGCCTTGTTTAAAGCAAACCAGTTTTTCTTCACACAGCAGAGGGAAAACACACTCAGGCAGCTGGTGGGTGAAAACTGGTGGCGTTTGTTGCTGTTACTGCAGCCTACACCGTACATTTGCTGATTAAGGCTCAACCTCTTACAGTTAATTTCTTCTACCTCAGTCATGCTCTGCTTCTCACACCCATCGTCTGGACACAGGCTCGCTCAATCCCTTGCTTGCCTTTTGCACACTCTCTCGCTGTGCTCAGAGGCTTCATTGCATTATACCAACGTATTCCAGTGCAATAAAACATGTTTGCTGACTTGTTAGTCCTTCTGAGAATTACTGTCCTTTTAATTAAATTAAGTGGATCTATCTAAAATGCTAAATCAAAATATCTAATGTGAGAAAGTCACATTTCAGTTTTGCCAGTCTAGGGAACAATATCTAATGTTTAAAAAAACTTATAACTAGTAAGAGTTGGATTGCAGACACATAAACTATGAGTCTGTTCTTGTAAGGACATATATTTTAGATGGCAATGTTAATTCTAAACCATTGCTAATAAACTTGTGGCCCGTGGGCCACATATAGCCTGTGGGTGACATCCGTCCGGCCCGCCAATGAGGACCACCTCAAAATAAATAATTATAAAGTTTTTAAACTTAATTAAATATAAAACAGATTTTAAATCAGTTATAAATTTTAAATAAATTTAATTGAAAAGGGAAATGATAATAATACTTGTTTGGTTACATACTGCAGTAATTTAGTTATCTCTGTTCTTGACCAAAACAATGCTTTAGTGCAGTGGTTCCCAAACTTCTCAGTTGTTTTTGCACAGAAGAGCAGTAGCAGAGACCTGTGCCCCCAAGAGGGGATAAACATCGGTATCGGGTCAAAGAAAGAGGGACACAGCAGAAATATTCATTGTGCTTTGAGTACATTAACCTCACTCTTTTGTAATATGTAAGACAAAACAATGTTGTTAGGAGTCATTTTTAAATGTAATTAGTTCTGAAAATCTATTGAAGACCCCACCTTGATGTTTTGGGACTCTACTGTGGGCCCCGACCTCAACTTTGGGAASCCCTGGTTTAGTGACTATCCACGGCTCAATCCAAATGAATGGAAAAAGTGATGTAATTTGTCCAAGGGTGAATTATGTTTAAGAATTCGGAAATGTTGACAATATGAAGACTGCTATTTTGTTTATTTGAAATGTTTGTTTTGACCAAGAATAATTAAATTATGGACATTTTAAATAGGTTACATATCCAGTCTCATTTTTACATGCTAAAAAAGACCCTCATAGATGAGGGGCAGCGGCTAGTGTCTCATTATGGAAACAGGTTACTGAGTAAATTTTGTGGTCTTGGACAGGTCCTAACATCTCACAAGCTTCTCTTTACATCACAGTTAAGTTTACACTTCCAGACCAAAAAGCAGTCAGAACTGATTCCTTTAATGTTCTACGTGGCACCTGAGCAGGTAATATCGAGAAGAGGTACCTGGGTAGTGACGTGACTTTGCCCCACTTCTCGATGCAGAAGCGCCTGAGGCCGTTGGACCCCCTCAGGGATGCAAAGCCCTCATAGGGAACACTGGACGTCCCTGTGACAAACTGCAGCAGGCGGAGGCGCTGCTCATTGGTGAACCTCTCCACTGCTGCCCAGAACCAGCGCATCACTATGTGGCCATCATGGTAACCTGGTGGGTGCAGAATACACAAAATACACATACATACATAAACTTAGCACAAAAAGTAAGTGAATAAGTGTAGCTTGTGTTGTTGTAACAATGCTTCCTAACAATAAATCTTATAATGCTGGAAAGCCTGTTAAATTCTATTTTAAATGGTGCCACATTTGTAAGGAACATGCATTTGTGGGATGAGCAGTAGAGCTGAGTATGTGGGTTGATCCAACTAAAAATTCATCAAATYTTCTCTGTCAAACAGCTTATTTTACTGTTGCAACTGACTCTTGTTTTGAGCTTCTGCTGCCCCCAGGTGCTGCCAATCAGATGCTTGACATTTATACCCAAGAAACATTGTTACAACAAAAAAAATCTACCAAACACACATTTACTTAGTTTTTGTGCTATGTACAGTATATTTTAGTTTAGTTTAATTCATTTATTCATTTCATTTGAAAATAAAAAATATATACACAACAAAGAAATACAAATCACACTTAAAATGAAAGGAGGCATGAAGAAGAAAAAATCTTATAATACCTGTCCCTTTTTTCCAAAATTAATTTCAAGCAATAATAATCAAGAACAAAATAAAAACTTCAATTCCTTTTCAAACAACAGCTTTTGAAATACATTATACGGTTTCATATATCTTTAACAAACACATTTTTTTTATCATTCTCTTAAACAAACACATTGAGCCAGCATTTTTATAATCACTTTCCAGATTATTCCACAATCTTATTCCTTGAACTGAAGTACATCGGGCCTTGTTCGAATTTTAGGTTTTATAAACTTCTCAAGTCCTTTAAGATTATAAGAACTTTCTCTCTTAACAAAATATAACTGGATGTTTAAAGGTAAAAAAAAAATTATGAGCTTTATTCAAAATCTGCAAGATATTATAATCAACCAACTGATAAAATTTTAATAATTTTAATTTAGAAAATAATATATTCGAAGGATGACAGTAATGTTTTCTGTTAATAATTCTTACGGCTCTTTTCTGTAAATTAAAAATAGGATTTGTGATTGTTTTACGTGGTTTACCCCAGACTTTAACACAGCAGATCAAGTGTGGAACAATTATTGTATTATAAACAGAGCTTTATCATTGAATAACTCCTTTACTTTATACAGTACTGCAATAGCTATATATATTCATACAGATACTACAAGATTTGTTTTATTTTAATCTTATTTCCTCGCATTTAAAAGTTGGATTATTCATGTCTGTAAACACAAAAGCAACCAWTTTAGTTTGCATTTGCCAAATCAGCGTTCCCTGTTTCTGAGCTGTGTCCAGTGTTCAGCTGAGGTAACATAAAGCAGATGARCCGCTGAGAACACCTGACTCGTACCTCCTCTGTACTCGGTGTTGCTCCTCCAGTCGCTCAGGTCGATCTCTACAGTCCCAGCAATGACCAGCTCAAGCTCCCGGGCATCAAAAACTGACACCAGCCTGGAGTCCACCACCTGAAGAGGACACAGGGACCCTTCTGAACTGGGCTGAAAACCCATGGTCCAACGGTAAAGGAAGGTGGATCAAGACAGCAAGCTCAAAAATATATAAAGAAAAATGTTACCACGTGGCTGACATTATAGCTGAAAACATACTCCCTGCGAACTGCCGACGTCGGCACGGGTTGTCGCAGTTTAATGACGCGCCCAGACTAGAAAGCAGAGTTTTATAATAAGATACTCAAACCGTGAAAAATTTATGGCTTGTTTGTTTGTGCTGAAAGCGCTGCTGCACTCGGTAAAAAAAAAGGGGGGGGGRACCCTGACTCGCTCCCAGAGCCGACACCAGGAAGTAGAGTTTTATAAAGATAGTCAAACCGTGACAAACTCATGAATGGAGATAAAACAGAGGTTGTGCACGGAGGACTCTGACTGATAAAAACTGTGGAGCTTTAACCAGGACAGATGTGGATAAATACGTCGGGTGAGTGACGAGTCTTTTTTTCCTGCAATGATTGTCGGCTGTAGTGGGGGGAACATTCCATGAAGTGACGTGTGGTTCAGCGGGAGGGGGAGTTTCCCGAGCTTGGCGCGGGGGTGTCTCAGGGACTATGAAAGGTCTGTGCGAAAACAACTGCCGATCAACCACTTGACTGCGCGTCGACCCGTCAGCGACAGAGCGAGTATGTTTCAGGCTTAATTCTCCTCTACCAGTGTTCCTGGGTGCTGTGGTATCTGTTGTTGACAGGGAACTCTTCCTTTGTAGCTTCAGCTTCCTGTTTCCAGTCTTGTGTCTAGTGATAGTATCTGTTTGTTACAAACCATGTGGGAGCAGAAGTTACCTCGTAGAAGCCTCTGACCAGCGCCTCGGTCTGTTGCACCACTCCTCGCTCCACTCTCCATTTAGCCATTCGCTCTATGTAATCCTTCTTGTTCTTCTCAGTCACCTGCAGGTGGGAGCCGCCCGACTTCAGCTCCCGCTCCGTCACCTGCAGACAGAGTTAGCAGGATGAGGAGATGGGTGCTGGATGTGAAACCAACTTTTTCAAAGCCTTTTGGATGCTGCATTAGAGTTACCGCTGACCTGGCCAAAAACCTCCTCGTTCACGGTGAAGGTGAGGTCCAGGATGTCTGTGATGTCGTTGTCCTTCATCCACTGCAGAGACTGGTGGAACTCCTCGTCCAGGTACTCCAGATCTGACAGGTCCGTCGCTCTGTGGGCCACACAGAGCTCACTTTACAAACCAAAACACTACACCCCCACAGAGCTGACTGGGTCAGACTCAGTTTTCCTAAAAGAAATCTGGTTAGTAGAGAGAGACTTCAATTGCTTAAAACGTAAGTAAAAGGAAAAATAGATTTTTTTTTCATTTTAGCATGAAATTATTTTAAAGACTTAAGTTTGAGTTACTATATCTGTAACTACAACTTTATTTTGAAGTAAAATGACAGAAAGCTTTCAGCTTGTGCTCTGGTGAATACTCACAGTCTGAGCAGCGCCTTGTAGAAGGGTCTGGTGAAAAAAGCATCCAACAAGTACTGATGGATCAGAGCAAGACCCAGAATACGACCGCTGAACCGGAACCTGGGCACAATCACACACAAAAAGCAGAATTATATGAATAATAAAATATATAGATATTTCATCTGGGAGACTTTTTGTCTGTTAAAAAGTTTGCATTTGTTTCCTTCTTCTGTATTAACCATGACTTATGCATACTAATACACTCCTAATAGTCAGTCAGTTTTCACCAAACTTAAACTTAAACTGCTTACCATTCTAGATGGTTCTCAACGAAAGCTGACATGGGGCTGATCTGCACGGTATACGTGTCGTTAGCAGAGTATTCAAACAGACCGTAGTAGGGATTAAAGAGCTCCTGAGACAGAAGGAAGAAGAACTCTCTGGACGGGCCGCTGTAATCTAACCTGATGAGAGAACACGACAGAGGTGGCAAAGTTTTATKTAAACACATAAAATGTCTCTTCTATCCAACACCGCCTGTCCTGTGGGTGGGACTGATGTGAGCATGCTTTGGTTTTAATAAAGTGGATCAAATAGGTTCACTCAAACTTTAAATTTGAATGAGAAAAATGTCAGTAACTGTGTTTTTTGGTTATTTTTCGCGATAGTCTTTTGTGTTTATTGTTGAGTTTATTCTTTTTTGGTTTATTTTCTGTGTTCTGTCCCCCAGAGTTCCAGTGTCATCAGTTCATTCTTCTCAGTTCTTTTCCTCAGATCAGCTTCTGCTCCTTAGTCCTGCCACGTCCCCTGTTTGGACCTGGGGTATTTCTGTGTGGAGTTTGAATGTTCAAAAACATACAATAGATTGCCTTCAGGACCAGGCCTCCCTTAGAAAAGACATCTGGATTCAGTTGGATTTGCCTGGCTAAACAAAGGTCAATGTTAAAATAATTTGAAAAAATCCTGAAGTAAAACGGTAAATTAAAAAAATAAAACTAAAATGATACGTGTTTTTTTAAGGACTGATTGGCCTTAAAGAAGGAGCACCGCAGAAATTAAGATGCTGCACAGATACAGTTTTTAGAAGAAATAAAAATAAAACAAAACCCTTTTTTCTTCATTCAATATAAAAGATTTAAACCAATTTTAAATTCTAAATTAATGATTCAAAACAGTAAAATAAACAGATTCAAAAGGTAAAAGCTAATAATACTTATCCTTTTACACAATTCAGCGTGTTAAACAGTACATTCTGTTTTTATCATATTCAGGGTCAGGGTGTGCATGACCCAATGAACCCAAGATTAATCTGAGCTGTCAGCCCCAGTTATTCCCTCTGTCTCTATTCCCTCACCAGTTGACCATTGTGTGTGTTTACATTACATCTGATTCTCCTCCATGATCTCACTGTGTGTTTATAAGTTTTTTTATTAAATAAATTGAGGTTTTATTACACTCAAGCACTTTGTGTAGCATTTCTTGTATTCTAACTTTACAAACTCTGACAAAACAGTTATAAATATCTGTATGTATGTGTAGGAGCCCATTTGGCTGTAAAATATAATTTCATGTGTGGTCCTAGGCTGGTTCTGGTGGCGTGAAAAATGTGCGAGGATGTCCCGCTGTACGCATCTCACCCCTCCTCCCCCAGGAAGGTGACGTAGAGTTTGTTCCTCTGCAGCTCTTTGCGAGAATAAGCCATGACCTGGTTAAAGGTTCCCTCCAGCAGGTGTTCCCTCCTGATCAACAGCCTGCAACAACCAACCCCAAACACTGTTAACCAATGACCCGTCAGCATTTCAGGCTTAGTTTAAGGGTTAGAGCACTTACTTGATCTTGCCGGGACCCTGGCCATAGCCTTTAGCTTCTAGTTTTCTGTAGAAGTTTCGCAGTTTGGCTTCAAAGTCTCTGCGATAAGGAGCCGGGGCCCGGGCCCTTTGCAGGCCTGAACACACAGGTTAGGTCACAGGATAGATTTTATCATTTTCAGGGTTGGCGGTTTCATGAAGGTTTATAGAAGCCAAAAGCAGAGACGCTTATTGGGACAACAAATGCTGTTAATACAGTATAAATAGCAAACATATCAAGCAAATGATCCTGATTTTACACTTTCTGTTAACTGGTTTTGTGAGCTACTTTAAAAAGACATCATGAACAAAGAAAGAAAAATATTTTCCAACGAGATACTTTTTAAAGTTCTTTAGAAACCTATAAACATCATCCTACGTAAGTTTATGAAGTTTATGAATAACAATGCTGTGGTTCAAACTGGTTTGTTTTTGGTCACAGGTTAAAAGCCTGCCTCTCTGATAGTATGGGGGTGCATTAGTGTCTATGGAATGGGTAGCCTATACATAACTGGAAAGACACCATCAATGCAGAAAAGTCTTAATCTGCACAGAAAAACTTCCTCAACGAATATTTTTTACTTTATTCAGCACAGAAGAAACTCAAACCTGAGGGTCAAAGAGTTTGTTTTGCACAGAAAACATTTCTGCAGACTGGATCAGCCTCACTTCACACTGGTTCCATTTTGTTTTTAAGGTTTATCAGGTCACATTTTTACAAAGACAATTATAAGCACAATTACGAGCCAAGCTTCCTGCTGTGACCCAATTTTTTATAGATGCTCAACGCCACACACACACACACACACACACACACACACACACACACACAC